CGCTTTCAGCAGCAATCTGCAGTGCTTTCCGTGCTCCGGCCTGAATCCAGAGCCAGTGATAGTAGCGGCATCATGTTCCTCCGCGGAACTTTGTGGATGATGCTCAAAGTCCGGTTAGCTGCATTCGCTGTCGCTAAGCGGCTCTGTGTTTCGGTGACATAAATGCATTCATTATATTTTATCGTACAAATCGTACAAATGCTGCATATACAAATTTCAATTCCTCTTACACCATGCAGCACACGAACGGCCACCTTAAATACCATTTTGAGCTCTGTGATGACACAGGAATAGTGCTGCGTTGGCTAAAGCAAAAAAATTCAGAAATTCGTTAAGTAACAGCAGCACTAAGCTGTCTTATTATGCGCCCCTGTTTATATGCAAATTGCAAAAACGCATATTGCAACGACCCTGTCTGTGTGTATGTATGTTTGTGTGTGTGTTCGCCTGCCTAGGTCTTTCAACTCGGCAATCAAGCAAACTCCGGCGCCAAAATTTTGCTAGTGGGTTACCCGGCCATCTACCACTCCAGAACCGCTGTACCAACTTATGTAAGTTTGGGTCTCGCGTAGAGAGGTAAAAGTTTTGGCGGGAAAACTGCTAACTCGGAGACGAGAAAAGCTAGAAAGCTGAAATTTTGAGATTATATTCCCCTTCTACGTAGAACTCAAAGATTTCAAATGGTCCCCGTGTACAGTACTGCGAAAGATCCTGACGCGAAAATCGCTAGCTTGGGAACCAGGAAAGCTGGGAGGCTGAAATTTTCAGGGGATGCTCACAGCACATGTACAGGTCATCTTAAAATCATCTAATTTAGGCCCCAGGCATGCGTGGTTCAGACGTACGGTTCCGCGAAATTTTTGGAGGGAAAATGGCTAGCTTGGGAAAAGGAAGGCTGGGAGGCTGATATTTTAAGGGAGTGTTCCCAGATTATGTATAACTTAAAGGTTCCAAACCCAGCCCCCAGGTATGCTCCCAGGATACTTGCGGCCCTGTGGAAGTTTTGGGAGGAAAATTGCTAATTTGGAAACTAAAAAAGCTGAGAAGCTGGAATTTTAGGAGAATATTTCCTGTCCAGATACAACTTACAGGTTTCAAATTCAGCCTTTAGGTACATATGGTTCTCGAGTACGGACACTTAAATTTTTTTTTTGGCGGGGAAATTGCTCGCTGAATAGCTGGATCGTTTTCAAAAAGCGGCAGT